CCCCCCCCCCCCGCAACTGAGCTGCAGTGTTGAGAACCCTCTGGCTCATTTTCCCACTTCCCCTCCCCATGGGTGCCCGCTGGCCAAATCAACTCTGCAGGGCAAGGAGAGGAGATTTCTGTGCCCTCTGGCCCTGGGTAGCAGGAATAAGGGGCTCCTGGCAGGCACCCAACACCCAGACTGCATGGTTTGGGGTCTCCTGTACAGAACACAGAAGCCTAAGTCCAGAGGCAGGAGGGAGGGAGGCGGCCCAGGCCCAGTCCCTGGGAGACCCACAGGCCACTCCCCAAGGCCGTGGCGCCCGGGGCGCAGGAAGGAGCCAGCTCAGCAGACAAAAGCTTCAGCGGCAGGACAGGCAGGCGGAGGGACTAGTCCAGTGTTTAATCAGAGCTGAACGCCAGGCTTCCTTGGAACCCCACTCGTGCGTGAACCCCCGCAGCCTCACACGCCATAAGTATCCCAGGCCCTGGCCACGTGTGGTGCGTTTATAATTTCCCCCGCTGCCAGCCCTGTTCATGGCAGACAAAGCCAAGGCACAGAGAGATGAAGGGCCCAGGCACCTGCGCCTTCAGGGGCAGCTCACACGGGGCTGGGGACCCCGCTGTCCTAGCTAGGCTCAGCACCTGCTGGCCTGGCCACCCCAGGACCCAGCCAGGACAGGGCCCTGCCCAGGGGCCTCTCCTGCAGCTGCCTGCCCAGAGGGGTAAGCGGCGCTCCCAGGCCACGGGGAGGGGCGGGGGTGGGAGAGGCCTGGGCGCACACTCGGGGGGGACTTGAGGCTCCAGGGATGCACCGAGGGGATGGTACAGGGAGCCCAGGCCCTCGCTTTAGACCAGGGCTTCCCCCGGAAGGGCCATCACACTCAACTTCCAGTCTGTGTTTAAGGCGTTGGAACAGATTCTGGATGCGGGAACGACACCGGCCTCTTTGCACTGACCTGTGGGGCTGTGCGCGTGAGCTGGCGGATAGAACCATCCGAAACATCTCACTGCTGTTCGCACTGAGTTCACTGGGCTGTCCTGTCTCCCAGCCCAGGGTGAACGGGGGTGGGGTGAGGGTGGCAGAAGTGGCAGCAAACGTCTACTCCAAATCACAACTCTCACAACTCACGAGAAGTTGTTGTCGACGTGATACTGAATTTGGGTCATTTTTATGTCACCTCGGGTCAACGGCAAACCCAGAGGGCCCTCTCCCACCACTAGGGATGTTTTCAACGAAAGGAACGCGGTGGGGGGGCAATACCACCACCCCTCCCCTTTACCAGCATGTCTTTTTGCCAAAGTTGCCAAGTGACAGAGAGAGGTGAGAGCTGGGCAGCGGCCCCTGCAGGGAGCCCAGCTGTTCCCAATGCCAGCCCAGAGCAGGCGCAACACTGCCCCTCGGAGGGCAAAAGCGGCCAAGGAGAGCCCAGGGGCAGAGCCAGCACAGAAAGGTCTGGGGACCCGGCCTGGGCAAGAGGGGTGCGGTGTCAAGAGAGCCCAAGCGGCTCCCCTGACTTAACCCACAAGCTGCCCCCCTGACTTCAGCCTTTGGACCAAGTAACCCCCCACCCCCGGCCCCTGCCCAGGGACAGCTCAGGCTCCCTCAGCCCTGGGAGTCTGAACACTGAGCCCACTCCATCCCTGTGCCCCTCAATCCTGACCTGGAGGGGCTCAGCCCCCCTGCAGGTCCTGTAAGCCGCCCGCCCCGGCAGCCTCTGCTCTGAAAACACTGAGCCCATGGGGTTCTGCTGTCCACACAAGGGAAGCCAGGCCTGTCCTGGGGGCCCCCTGCCCTGACGGCAGCGGCAGCTGGCTCCAGTCAGCTAGTCACCCTGGATGGTGACCCCACGGACAAGGAGGGGAGCACGTGGAAGTCACCCTGGGGCGTGACCTCCTGGGGCCACACACCTACATCCCAGCCCAGGAAGCCTCGGTGCAGTCCTGGGTCCATCTGGGGAAACTGAGACAAGATGCACAGGGACCTGCTTGAGCGTCTCGCAGCTATGAGCGTCCAGAAAGAGCCCGTCACCCCCTCGCTGAGAGCTTCCATTACCCCCTGCTTCATCCCAGCCAGGCATCTGTGACCCCAGTCACCCAGGTGTGGCTGGGGAGTAACCCGGTCACACAGTGTAGTCAGAGGAATAAGAGCAATGGCTGTAACATGAAGATGGGAGGGGTGGGGGGCGGGGATCTGAAATGAGGGAAGGTTTATTATTTCTCTTCTGCAGCCCAAAGCCAGCCAACTTCCTTGAGGTCAGCGTCGAGGGATATCTAGAAGAATTAAGTAAATTAAAAGTAAATTCAGGTTCTTTCAAGCGCAAGAGAAGAGGAAGCGCCCTTGCCCCCGTGGAGGTACTCACCAGGGCTCCCTGTGCAGGTAATGGCCCGAAGGAGCTCCCAGGTGGAGCCACAGCCCAGGTTTATATAGGGAAGGTGTTGCGCAAGGGCCCGGGAGGCTGCTGTCAGCACGCCCCTTGTGCATTCCAGGACTGCCTGCCGCCGAGGCTGCGCCAGGGCTCTGCCTACCTGCGGGCTTAATGAGCCCATTAGAGCTCCGGGGGGAGACAGGCTGCCAGGGCGTGCCAGAGGGTCCCTGGCGCAAGGGCAGAGAAAGCCCGGTGCCCTGGCTCCCGACTGGCAGCTCCCTCAGCCCCGTGTGGGAGTGGGACCTGGAGGGATCCCTGTTTCCAGCTGTCCGCTCCCCAAGAACCTGAATCTTCTAGCTGAGCTGCTTCTGAGGCTGGAAAGGTCAGAATCATTCAGAGATAAGAGCCAACCGGAAATCCCAGGGACGAATCCTTACAAAGACAGCCAGGGCTGTTCGGCCTGTCGGTCTGGAGCACCTTCTGTCCTGGCCGTGGCTCAGCACTCAGACACTGGCTGCTGGAGCCTGGGTCTGCTGCCCACGGGCTGGATGAGGCTGAGGGGGGCAGGGGGGCTGCCCTCATCTGGAGAGACCCTCCCCCGTTTCTTCTGGTCTGGTAAACAGAGCCCCTATTTCTTGCTCTGCCCTGCTGGTAACTGAGGCTGGTGAGTGAGATTCGGGCGTCAGCTCCCACAGGAACAGTGGGGGCGCCCGCTGGAGCCAGGAGGTGCTCTGGGACCAGAGCTGGGCCGTGGCTCCTCACTGAGAAGTGGGGTGACACATGGAACTCTGGGGCCCCACTGCCCAAGACCCATATCCCATCAGCCCCTGGCCTCCCTGCCTTTCTGCTCACACAGGCCACTAGGAAGCAGGCCGGTGTTCAGTGATTTGGCAGGGGTGTGTGTTTGGGGGGTGGGGAGAGGGGTTTACTGGGCATTCACCCTGTGAGCCGCCCAGGAACTAAGTACCATTTCTCTGTTGAAAATCAAGAGGTTGGGCCCTCCCTGGTGGCACAAGGGGTTAAAGAGCAGCACTATGAAGCTACCTGCAGCCACTGTGGCACTCGTTTAATCCCCAGCCAGGGAGTGACCCACAGGCACCGCAGACCTCTCCTGACCCGCCGACCTCTCCTGACCTGCCCTCTGCTCCCCTCAGCAGTGTATTCCAGTACATCTGCCTGTTCTGCTCCCTACTCTGTAGCTGGTGACTCTTCTCACCCTCTGTACCTCTGGCCTGCACCCCAGTTCTGTATGCATAAAGAAATAAATCTTAAAAAAGAAAGAAAGAAAGAAAGAAAGAAAATTGAGGGGTTAAGGAAATGGGGCCATTGGGGTGTGGAAAGCAGGTAGGCCCTGGATTAGACCCCAGGGTTTACATCCTTGAGCCACTTACAGATGTCACCTCAGTGTTCACCATCACGGTTGGCACCGCCAGCCCTTCCAGACCTGGCCTGAGTCAAGGGCTCTGCCACCATTGTGATCCATATTTAAATCAGAACACACAACATCCCGTGGAGCAGCCGAACGCGACACCTCCCGTTATGCCTGATGACTTTACACAACCCAGTGACAAACTCAACTCATTAGCACCATAGTTGTTTTTTCTGTCCCAAACAGACAGTCTCTGTCAAACTTTACCTGTATGCCATACTCCTGTGTGTGCATCAAATCTAATTTTTTTGGTGAGTGTTCTGCTCAGTCTCTGGCTGCGCATGTTAGTAGGCGGAACTTTCCAGGGACTTTGCGTTATCACTGCAGCTGCAAGGAGTGTGACTCCCCTGCTTTGTCATCATCATTTGCTTTGTTGTGGAGTATGACTAAAACTCACCTCCTTTATGAGACTTTCAACTCATCAAAAGCAAAACAAAACAAACACAGAACACCAGTGTCTAAAGCAAGAGTAAGTTGAGTTACTTACTAAAGAGTACTGGAATACATGAAGCCTTTGATACCAAAGTCCCGTTTTCCAGGGAGTTTGCCATATTAGAAACTAACAAGGCTGATGTGGTGGTAGCACCTGGACTCTGGGGCGGCCGGCATAGACCAGATCACTCTGGTTCTCCAGCCTCAGCGGTGGCCAGGCACCCACTGCGCAGAAGGCCTTGTCTGCTTCCAGCGCTCACACCCACCCCAGGGCCTCTGCACTCGCCATGCTTCTGTACAGAACATCACACAGAGACTCACTCATTGTTCAGTAGTGACATTCACCAAGCAAGTCCCTGCCTGAAACAAGAGTCACCCTATTCTTATATGCCTTGGAGATTGTCTCAGGGCCTCTTTTTCACCAATAACATCTAAATGCATGGTTTCTTCTGGGGAAGAGGGATTGAAACAATGGATTCAAACTGCCATTTGAATATTTCACTTCAATATTTTTACCATGGGATTTAGAGTTAGACACCTATAAGTTAAATTATATGCAAATACAACCACATAAGTTCTGATCACACAATTTAAAATATCAGTCATCTTCTCCCAGGGGGATACCCAAAACATTCTATAGGTTTGAGCCCTATATTTTTGTTCCTGTACATACCGAAGATGAATTATTAAATAAGACATGGTAAGAGGTTAGCACTAATTAATCAGAAAATGGAGTGATAAAACAGTATAATAACTTATGTGAATGTTGTCTGTCTCACTATTATTCCATTCTCTGTCTATGGTCGATCACAGGTAGTTGAAACCTCAGAAAATGAAACTGCATATAATTCACAGTAACAATTGTATTAATTAAAATCTAATAATAAAAAAATAAAATAAAGGAACTCACGTCTTTGTAGTTCTTGAGTTTGAACGCCATCCACGACGCTTGAATCTCCCTTCTGTTCTGTGGGTTCTCCAGCTCACAGGCCTGGTTGGAGAAGCCAAACTCAGTGAATCCCAAGCACCACATGGGCAGGCTCCCCTCACCCCAAAGTTGGGCATTTCCTATTTCTATTCTCAGCAGCTACCACTGAAAGGTGGAAAGCTATGGGACGCAACATGGGTGGGACGTGGAGAAAGGGGGTGTGTTTTGTGAAAGGAGGAGGGAGGGTGGGCGCCTGTTCACAGAGGGTGAACAGGCTTCAACTGTGGTCGTCTCGCTGGCCCGTGGCCCTTGCCCAGAGTTGTGATAGATCAGAAAGTGTGAAATTCTTAGCCATTCAGCTCATCACTCCCTGGAGGGACAAACTCCAGGTATGACCCCAGGGTGCTCACCTGCTGCACAGGTAACGTAGGTCTGCCTTGCCTGAGTCAGAGATGGACATTTAGGAGGACAACAAGAGGAAGGGGCCTTGTAACTGCAGTGACATACTTGTACGACATGGGACCCCAGGGGTGCTGCACACAGGCGCACGCTGCTCTAAATATGCACCCTTCCCCCCAGTATCCTGTAACTTCTACTGTTAAGGGGAAGGATGTCCTAAAGGAACTCTGCAGAGTCTTATGGACCCCAAACCCTACTCCAGCTTTCTGGACACTACCCCCTACTCCAGGGATTGGAAACTACAACTCCCAGCAGTACCAGAGAGAGAACTGCGAGGACCCAAGGGTGGAGCTAGCAGGAATTCTGGGACATTTGGGGGAAAAATAGGGCGCAATTGCATCTCGTGCTGTCGCTCCCTCGCAAAGCAGCTCTCCGGACCGCGTGACTCGGTGTGTTCAGTCAGCCTAGCCATAAGGTATTCCACTTATATTGTATCCCTTTCTCTTTCCCTGGGTTGTTTCCTTTTCCTTTCCCCTTTTGTAAATAAACCCGTTATTGACCCTTTTGTGTGTGCCTGCGGTGTAACTGAATTGTGAGCACGCGGGTGAGGCCCCACAGACAGGCGGCCCAGTCCGCTCTGGGCTACCCTGTAACACTACCAACGTTTAGGCATCAACAAGGATGGTTCCATTTACAACATCCATGTTGATGGAAAACTGATCTATAAAGATGATACATGCACACACTTAAAGTCCCACAAACTCAGGGCCTCCCTGGTGTTACAAGGGGCTAAGTCTCAGTGCTGTCAATTCATTGGCAGCCACTGCAGCATGAGGTCGAGCTCCTGCCAGGGAGAGCACTGCGGCTTACCTGAGTGTTCCTGCCTGACCACTCACCCACCCCACCCCTGCTCCTACTGGACAGCAAGGCACAGCACCCTTGTCTCTGACGGGCTGCTGCTGGGCTCGTGTTGCTGCTGAGCAGCTGAGGAAGCAGAGCAAGGGCCTGGGCACAGAGGGGAGCCCCCTCCAGAGCAGGCTCCAGGCAGGGACAGGCCTGGGAGGTCAGGCAGGTAGAAGAGGCCATGTTACGGGAGCACTGGACAGGAAGGTGAGTGTCCGGGGCTCAGCTGCAGATGTTGCAGAAGACTAGGGTTGATGCCACTATGTCTTTGCTCTTTTCTGCAGAACCCAGTTTATCTAGGTTTATGTGAAATTTACCATTAAAAGAAAGAGCACAGGGCAGGCCAAACAAAGCAGATCGGTGCCTACCAGTCTTCATCCTGAGGGCAGAGGTAGGCCCAAAGTTTGGCCCTCTCACTCAGCCTGCTGTCTCCTAGCACTCAGCCAGGCTGAGATTCTTCACAAAGTGGAAGGATGTAAAGGCTCCGGAGAGGGTGGCAGGGCCTGGGGAAATGGTCTCCCTGGAAATCAGAGTCCCCATATCTCTTCCTGAAGCTTTACCCTGAGTCACCAGCCGGGAAACTCAAGGCACTCAGTCTCGTGGGGAAAGTCCCGGCCTTGCCTTGTTTGTTCCTGCCTCCCTAGCAGCAAGAAGCTGCCAGCGACTGCAGCAAGTCAACCGGAAGAGTAACCCAGGCTGCGGGGCTCGCCGCTGCCCAGGCTGGCCCTGGAGAGGGGGTGTGGGATCCTGGGCCTGCAGCCTAGGGCGACCATCCTTGGGGCTCAGCTGCGCACTCCTAGCCCCAGCCCTAGAGGGAAAAGGACACCTTTATGGACGGTCCATAGAGCATGGAAAAGCACTCCTCAAGTCATACCCAAGCCTCTGCCTGCAATCACTGAGAATTTCTTTGGGTCAAGCACACTGATAATTTGGAAATGGGCTCGATCCCCTTGGATGTGAT